TCTCTCTCTCTCTCTCTCTCTCTCTCTCTCTTTCCTGCACACACACACACACACGAAAAGTGAGCTCAATCTCACTCGCACTGATGAACTAACACGCATTTCATCACTGATCAACATCTTGGTTTTTGAAATTGATATTGCATGCTTCTTTACAGGTTGGCTGATCTGGGAGACTTCAAGAAAGTGAATGAGATCTATGCTAAATGTGAGTTTTTAGGATTCAAGTCAACTCGTCTGTCCACATAATTTCTTTCTTTGATTCTGCATATATACGAAGATGCAACTGATAGGACTTGATACCTGTATGCCTAGTTTTCTGCATCAACTACAAGAAAACCATTTGAAGAACAAATTTATTAGCACTGCTTTCCTTTTATCACTTCCAATGGCAAAGGGTGTTACTCAATTCCCATGTCCATGTATCTTTAGGAAAAACTCTTGTTCATAAAAGTCATTACAAGTCAGTTTCCTCTCTTGTTAGCTTAATTCTGATTCATTTAAACCTCACCATTCTGACCTCTAAAGTCTATCAATAGATTTGGGTCAGCATTTGATGAAAGTGTGCCTCTACAACTTCTTATAAGACCCCTTAGCATACAAGACCCAGAACGTTACACAGATTGCAAATTTAGTTCTGTGCAAATACACGTAATGCTTTTTCCATGTCCACCTACCATTGTGCCTTATTATGTAAAATCTGTAATGTTACAAAATGTATAATGCGGTAAATTTCCAGAGTTGCGTGAATTTCTACCGTAGTTACATGGATGATAACTTATATTCCTCGTTAAAAACTGAAAAGCTCGTGAGAATTTCCACAGTTATATCACCATGCTTCCCTGAGCTTGGGAATTCGTATAATGTCATCCCGACTTGTTCCTTTCCAGAACAATTCCTCGTATGTATGAATACATGATAGACATTTTCCTACCCTCGATTGATTAATCTGTTGGGTGAAATATAATTTGGCTTAATCCCATTGCAGATTTTCCATCGCCTGCTCCGGCTCGTTCAACTTACCAAGTGGCAGCACTACCAATGGACGCAAAGATTGAAATTGATTGCATAGCTGCATTACAATAGCCTCTCGTTCTGTTTACGCCCGAACTTCTTCTAAATAAGCTAGAGTGACGGAGAATTATCATTATGAGAAAAATCGAAGAGAACTTTTTAATACTGGAGTAGTCACCCTTAACGTTGTTGTTCGTGTCTGTGTGATAACCGAGTCTTATGGATTGGCCTTGTAGTTTATTACTGTTTGTCCATGTTGATGTTTATTGAACTCTCTTCCAGTTCATCGTTGTACTTGTTTACCATTTCTTTATCTCATAATTGAGTAAAACCAATCATGCTTCTTAACTAAGAAATCTATTCTGCTCTTATTTCTCATTTCAAAGTGCATAGAAAATGCTAAACCTGTGTACGTTGAAGGAACTCTGGAAGTCTTCGGGGAAATGAGTCGTGCAATCTCAGGCGACGGTCAAACACACTTCTCTCCCTGTTTAAGATTTTGAGCTCTTTGAGGGGGCATTTCCCTGATATTGTAAGTTCTCCTGGAAAAATCTTCTCCCGGGAATGGCAAGTTCCTTGCCTCGATCAGGAGATTCTACCTTATTTTTCTGAACATATGTGGTGGTCGTTCAATTTCGTTCGATGTGTCGCAATGTGTGTCTATGAATTCGCTTCAGTTAGTGCGCCTTTGACGATCAATGAGGGTGCTGATATTGTCGAAGTTTGTTTGTGCAACATTTTGTTTGATGGAATTTGATTGGTTGGTGAGATTGACAGTAATGTGAGCATGATGACACTTGGGTCTTAGGTATGCGCCCTACATATGATTAGACCTCTTAAATGTAGATAAATAATGTTATTTGTCATTATGATCATTATCATCATATGTGGCAAGAATGATAATATTCATTTGGATTATTTATATTAAGAAGTCGGATGTCAATGAAATGGTATTTAAGATGTCCAATAATTTATCAATACATAGACCATCGATGGTTAAGTCAGATTAAATGTTGAGACAGTGCAAGTTAC